GGTATACAATATTAGATTGGCGCTTATGTTCTACAGATTTTGGCGCAAATGAAAGGTCATTTTTGTACCTTTAGCGCTTATGTCATACAGCCGTCTATATAGTCCACACGGTACCCAAAACGTGGCTCAGTCGCTCACTCGCAGATAAAATTGCTCATTGTATATTTCTTTCATATTTAATTTATGTAATTTWAAAATAAAAATAAATCAGTTGCAATATATTTCTCTGAACGTTATAACATTTATTTCAATATATTTTTCCTAGTCAATATCCAATATATATTAAGGAAGGTCGTACAAAGGTAACTCTGTTTCACATCTACAAAAGGTATGACAAATTTATTCGACACTCCTTATGCATTTCCTTTCTATTTAAATTTAAACTAAAGGAAAACTCTTCTACTCACTCCCCATTAAATATCATATTAAATGATAATATTAAAGTAATGAGTTAAAAGTTAAAGATAAATCATAATATAAAAAGAAAACRATATWTAACTGTTTTCTCATAAAGATTAATAATTTTAAATATATTTGCATCACCACACATTGTTTAATCAAATTTATTATTTATCTCAGATCCACGTTGAACCTTATTTTTAACTCATTACACTATTACACAATCACAGTAAGTATACCTATGACTTCCAGACGGATTGTCTATATATATCATATATTATATATACAGAGTGATACGCTAAGCAAGCCCATTTTTTCTTTAACAATTAGGTCGTTGTTTAAAATCTGTTTTGTGTAATTTTCGTTTTGAAATTAGAACAACCCTTATTCCCTTTAAATCTATATTATAATTGAAATTACTAAATTCCTAGTTGTTAAGTAAAACAATATATTCCAAGCATAATGTATTTGGAAAATATGGGTCTTATAATAATTTTTATTAATCAAATTTTTATAAATTTATCAAAATTATTGTAGTAAAATAAACAATGRATTGAATATTTTGTAAAAATATTAATTTTAAAGACTATTGTGTTTAGTATATACATATAACTCAGAAGCTACTAGTTTGAATTATGATTTATGTACATAAACATTAAAAAAAATACTGAACTTAAATCACCCAGCCTGTATATGGTATACAGTAATATGTTATTGTCAATGCAGAATAACAGTRCAATACAGATATAAACAAGAGTATATTATTATTTACCTGTTAGTCCGGCTCTTTCTCTCGCGCTCCACTTCTTCCCGCCTTGCGTTCTTCGTCGATGTGCCGGGCTTACATCTGGCCCGGTCGTTAAGTTTTAGCCACACTCGGACGTAGCAGAACGCTATAATTAGGAACGGCAGGACAAATTGTAGGATGGCAGTAATGGCACCAAAAATCTGTGAAAACCGTGAAAATAAAATTAGTGTCAACGTCTAACTATACTTATTGTAAATGCGCGTCTTTTTGATGATATTATACGGTGCGACAATATACGTTTGGGGGTTGTGTTGCAGTCAGCCTTATCATTATTGGTTAACGTAAATGGTCGTAAATATACGTATTTTGTAGGTTAGCAAGTTTATTAAGGACAAATATACAATATATAAAACCTAATGAATTATAAATAAATATAAAATACTTAACWAAGAGTTTATATTCAAAATTAGTTTTTAAAATCGAAATCATAAAATGGAAAGTACTGAATACAAACACATGAACAAACGTGAGTAACTAGTTACTAGAGTAATAGATTATTTGGGTTCAAAATCAAAATCTATTATCTCAAAATCTCAAATTGTTTAGAAGAATCATTTTAAACAATTTTAAACTAGAAATTGTAAWATCTTTTTTTCGTAATGAAAAATTAAAATGATTGGCACATCTTAAAATTTGAAAATAGTTTTGGGTAGATACTAGAAATTTGTTTTATTTATTTTTGTATTAAAATTTAGTGTAATAAAATTAAAATGTAAACAATTTCCGATAAGACTTTAAAATTTCTACGGATGTAAAAAAAAAAAAAATGGAAAATTAATTTAAGTACTTCAAAATATGTGAAAATATATAATAATCAATGTGTTATTGTTTTGGGGCATTATTACAAGTATTCATTTTTTATCATAATTAAGAAATTTACATTCAATTCAATATCACGATTGTGCATAAAAAATCCATGATCATGTATGATATTGTTTACCTGATATTGAAACTTATTCAATTTTTATGAAAACGATATTTTGAATTCATTGGGTACACATCGTGACTTCGTGATCATGAATCACAGATGAATAGTCACAATATTTTGAGTGTTCACTTCGTGCATTCAAAGGTAAAATATAGAATATCCATCTGGCGATATAAAATAAGCAGTGAAGTGGACGGAAGTCCAGGATGTTGCATTAATACATTATAACTACAAATGAATGCATATTAAACTATTTGAATTATGATTGAGATTATTATATTTGTATTTTAGTTTGATAGTATGTATATTGCTAGGTATTATTTATTTACCTATATCTGGTTTGATCAGTGGGGATATAATATATTGCTCAAAAATTTCATACAATATATACTAAATAATGTATCAGATAAAAACCTATACCAGTGTTGATTCTATCATTCTGTCAAATATTGTAAGTCTTAAACTTCTATCTGCTATTATTTTTCCAATTAAATTATTGCGAATTCTGAACCAACACTTTAGTTTMATTTTTAAGATTCGTTATGTGTTAGAAAATTAAAAGTTGAGATATCTTCGAGTAATTCATCTGGACATGTAATTATTATACTGCTTATTTGTATTATAATACATTAATAACGTTACAATGATTAAAATATTAGATAGGTACCTATTTTTATTTTATTATGTGGGTCCATGTGATACTATATCTAAATGTCTGTATAATAGATTAATAACTATTGAAATTATTACTAACTTTTTTGTAGTAATGACAACACATAACCAATTTTTAGTATCACATGTTCATTTGAATTAGAAAAAAAGTAAAATATCCATAAACTGCTGTCGTGCTATTAAAGGTATTACCTAATTCATTTTTATTATATACAATATTTAATATTAAAATAAGTTTAAAATAATTAAAATAAAATTGAATACAAGTTGCAGGTTGCAATGTTTTAAAAGATTGAACATTTCTTTTTTTAATTTTAGAAATTTAAAATCTATATTCTTTGATCAATTCACGTTTGTGGGCACATTTTTACAACGGACGTTTATATACTATCGGACGATTCGTAACTTGTACAAAAAAACTATCTATAGACGTTTTATAGAAAACGTTATTTTTGTTTGTTTTTTGTTAAACAACACATTTAAAAAGTTGTTATTAGGAATAACCTGTACATRTTRTATATACCAAAAACCTAACTTATCCCAAATTATAGGTACTTATTCTTTAAATTMTTTTATAACATAATATGTTTGATATATGTATTTTTTTATATGAATCCTATATTTTATTTTCTAAAAAATCGAATACGCGAAGAACAAAATTGGGTTAAAGGTAAAACGATCTGTGAATAAATTAACATGAATACATTAGATATTATGTGCATACACGTGCCATGTGCGCATAATGTAATAGTTTAAATCGTAATACGAAAAATATTTGTGAAACCTACACATTTTTAAACGAAATAATTTTCACAGCACATAACCGTACAAGCGAATGTGCCGGTTAGATTATAAAAGTTAAAACGCTATAAAATGYACTTTTAAATTCTAAATAAATGTATCATAATATATTATTAAACTGCCATCCTATGTATATATAATATCTAATATAAATAAACTTATGAGAGAAAACCACACAAACCCATTTTAATTTTAGTTACAACAGTACAACAAATAAATTGCAATATTATGTTGTTATATAGGGTTGCAGTTGATTTATTAATGGTTTTTAGTG